TCTCGGAATTCCCACATTTTTTCTCTCGGAATTCCCACATTTTTCTCTCTCGGAATTCCCACTTTTTCTCTCGGAATTCCCACATTTTTTCTCTCGGAATTCCCACATTTTTCTCTCTCGGAATTCCCACTTTTTCTCTCGGAATTCCCACATTTTTTCTCTCGGAATTCCCACATTTTTCTCTCGGAATTCCCACATTTTTTCTCTCGGAATTCCCACTTTTTCTCTCGGAATTCCCACTTTTTCTCTCGGAATTCCCAAATTTTTTCTCTCGGAATTCCCAAATTTTTTCTCTCGGAATTCCCAAATTTTTTCTCTCGGAATTCCCAAATTTTTTCTCTCGGAATTCCCACTTTTTTTCTCTCGGAATTCTCACTTTTTCTCTCGGAATTCCCACCTTTTTTCTCTCGTAATTCCCACTTTTTTCCCTCGGAATTCCCACTTTTTTTCCTCTGAATTCCCAATTTTTTTCTCGGAATTCTTACTTTTTTCTCGGAATTCTCACCTTTTTTCTCGGAATTCTCACCTTTTTTCTCGGTATTCTCACCTTTTTTCTCGGAATTCTCACCTTTTTTTCCTCGGAATTCTGACTTTAATCTCAGAATTTTGGATCTTAATCTTAAAGGGCACCATGGAGGAAGAGATGTGGAGCACTCAGCTTCACTGACGAAGGTGTGAATTGTTTGGGAGGGCCAGTAACACTTTGGAGGAAGATGATGGAATTAGGCGACTTTTTACGTGCCGAGGGATCCCTGGTGATGCTATTTCATTAATGGAGGAGCAGAAGGTGATTAAAACAAGAGAGCTAGTTTAGTCTCTAGACATGGCTACGGCTTGATGCTAACATGTTTAGCTGTCAGAATTCAGTCAGAATTATGAGATAAAAGTCAGAATATTAAATTGAAATATTTTAAAATAGGTTACATTTATTTTTTTTTCAGTGGCCCTAATCGTTTTCTGTAGAAACTAGATACCAATCTTGGGACTTTTTCCTGTTTTTGTTTTTTTGTCAGTTTAGTGACTTGATTTGTTTTGTTACCGTCTCACAGGGCAGCCAGAGCTGCGTTAGTCTCCTCCTGATTCCCAAAGCCTGAATAAAGAAATTTTGTTTAACTCTCCTTCCTGCTTTATGAGTGCAGCTGTCTTCCTCTGCAGGATATGGAGATGATATAAAAAAAAATTTTATCAGGTGTTTTTCTTTATGCAGTCAATGTTTTTTCTATCACTGTTTAAAGATTAGCCATTAAGGTTCTTGTTTTATCTGGTCGGGTTGTTTTTCTTTAACTCAAGCAGAGAGATGCGTTTAATGCTTTGGTCTCTTAGAAATGAATCTGTTTTACTCGATTCCTCTGTTTTTTCCATGTTTTTCTTTCTTTTGTTTCCAGGTGACCCTTAGTAAGTTTTTTAACCCGTGCTACACTACAGCCCAGCTTAAACCCACACTCTTCAGCAAGGTGAGACCTGCTCTGTTGGCAAATGATTGTGCTCATCAGGAGATGAAATGCCAAAATAGTTTACAGCTTTTTTTAATGGTAGAATGAAACTACAGCATTCAGCTTACATCTAGAAACAGATTCTGCAAACCTTTTAACTGAAACATACATTTTTATTTCTCATTATATCTAGAGCTGCAAACAAAAATGGGTTTCATAGATATGAACTGAACAATCTGTTTCTATTGAAATCGAACATGGAAAAGATTCATCTGACTTCTACAAAAGCAAAGAATCCTCTTTGTTATGGAGAAAGATGCCACCAGAGGGCGCTCTTTTCATTAATGCTGAATCTGAATCATGATGGCTACTGTAGCCCACAAAATGTAGTTTAAAAAAAAAAACATTGAATCATCTTTAAAAGCCTTTAACCACTGAGGTCCTTCTGTTGTAGATATTCTACATTTGTCTCTGGAGCTGCAGGTTGTTCACATCAGCTGGAATATAAACATGTTATAGAGCAACCAGGTGTTTTTAAACTAAAAGGCCTCTTTTTTTATTTTATCACTTCACTTTTTTTTTTTTTTTATCCAGTTGTAGCTGTGCCAAACTGTCATCCTTCACTCTGCTGAAACACTCCAGAAAACCAATACATTTACATGAACTTAACCAGCTCAGACCAGAGCAGCGATGAAATATCCAGAGAATGATGCCAGCAGCTTGCTGACGTCTTCAAAGGCTGGTTGATCCATTATTTTTTGAGGGTTTATGTGTTTGAGTCTGTTTGTAGGATCCCAGATTTGCCTGGACTACAGAAACCCTCCTACATTCAGATGAACCGGAGTCTGGGGTTGAAATTTGAGCCCCTGTCACATCTTGACGATTTCGAC